GGCAGATGCATTATGCATTTAGTGCATAATACTTGTCATGCCAGAATCAAAATACAGATGCAGATAGTTGCAAAAAATAAAATAAATAATCTTTATGCAATCAATATATTATAATCAATATCTTTTGCCTCTTTTTTGTCTGTAAGAGAGAGCATTTATCGGCTCTTGCCCCAGACTACCCCTGAAAACATTAACAAGAACTTTGACCAGTATACCATTGACCCAGGAACAAGATACCAAAACTTGAACTCAAGCTGTGTTCGACCTCACCAGGTCAGTACTTAAAAGGCTTGCTTATGAAATGGCAGTCCTTCCTCCCCCGGGAGAAACATGGCAACAAGTAGAAATAGTGCTTGAACAAAATCTTCAGGGGACTCATTGGTTTAGATTCAACTGTTGATAAAGTTAACCTAGAAAGATTTTTTTCCTGCAATTAATTTTAATATTATGCTACAAATTGATTTTCCTTGTAGGTGAGGCAGTTATATGTTACCAATGAGCTACAGCAATGTCCTCTTGAAAGAGTAAGCTCCATTAGAAGATCAGTGAATCTCTCAAGACGCGGTATGTGACATCTCATGTTTGATGTGACTTAATATTTGGAGCTTTCTGAGCATACAAACACCAGGTGAAATGTTTGCTCTCTACCATAACTGCAGAGTCAGATATTCGACCTAACAAGCTTTTGACCTGGTGTCAGAAACAGACAGAAGGGTACCGTAACGTTAACGTCACAGACCTGACTACCTCCTGGAAAAGTGGCCTTGCGTTATGTGCTATTATCCATCGCTTCAGACCTGACCTCATGTAAGTGACATCTGCAGACTTTGCAAGTGTAGGATGCGTTCAGCTCTATACAGAAGCACGGTGGAAGACCAGCCAAAGCAATGCTGATAGTCCAGTGTCCCTTTTATTGTGGGGTGGGTTTGGTTTGTTGTTTTTTTTTTTTTTTTTTGCAAGGGGGAGCACGGTATTACCAGGTTTGGGGGTGGGATTTTTTTTTTTTGTTTTCCGGATGTGCTTGCATGTATATGCTTTCAAAGACCTGGGAAGGCTTTGAACCTTATGATTTCTGTTTGTGTTAGTGGGAGTCACATGGCTATTTGAAAAGAAAATTGCAGTGCTTGGAGAACATGAGAGTTGTATTCCCAAGCCCCTGGAGACAGGTTTTCAGGGTCTACTTTAAACCACAGCCTTAATGGGACAGTTGAGAGTTACAGAAATACCTGGATTAGTCCAAAATGAACCAACCTGGCTGTGTTGTCATTGCGGCTGCAACCGTAGCATAGATGGACTCTGAGGCCAGGAAAGTGTCATGGGAGACGGCAGCTTTGCACCTTGTTTGTGCAGGACTGTGATGCCCTTTTACATCAATGGGTTATAGGGCCTGTCGGATGAAATCAGTGGTGAGAGGCTCTTCTGCCTTCTTAGAGTCTCCAAAATACGATGGATGCAGTCTCTTGCCTTCCTGCCTGGACTAGTCACCCCCAGATTTTAGAGCCACAGAGGAGTTATTGTCAGCCTCCCTATGTGGTGGATAATAAATGAAAGGAATATTTGAGATTTTTTAATGGGGTGTGATGGGTTGGAAAAACACAGGGCTCTGATACCCAAGACACTTGTTTGTGCAGCACTGTCTTAGGAAGAGCTAGCATGGAATGAATAAGGTATTTTTTGCCTCAAGTTAACTTTTAAAAAAATAGGAATAATGGATGGTTTTGTGACTGTAAGAAGAGAGCAAATAGAAAGCAAAGCAATCCCTGCTGTGTGTGGAAAGCATTTCTCTTGAGCACAGCTCTTTTTAGGAAGTTAAGATAAATCTATTTTCCCAAGCTAACAGACCTCCTGCAGTTTTCCTAATATTGTGTTCAGATTTGTTGACTTTTTGTATTAAGTGGGACAGGTGAAGGACGTGGCCAGTTGAAGCCTTGCTGGTCCCACCACGTGGGCCAAGGGACCACTGCCAGCAGGGCTGAGCGTAGGCTAGGACGAACGGCAGCGCTGCCTCTGGGCTGCCCCTTCTGAAAAGCACTCTTGGGATTTATGGGAATTGCTACAGACTGGAGCCTGGGATTTAAATGGGTGGTCGTGGTGGGGGGAATAAATGCTTTGGGGGTTCAAAAGCTCATGTTCCTTATGAGGAGAAGGGAACTACCCTATCTGGAGCCTGGGTATTTGTTTGCATGCTTATTTTAGTCATGAATTTTGGAAGCTGTTCAAGGGAGTGAAGTCTTAGAATAAGTCCCATAGAAAATGGATTAGATAATGTGGTTCCAGATGTGTAATATACGTATTTAAGTGTGTTGCTAAATCAAGCTATGACGTGGACAGGAGCTCCTCACTTAAAGTATGTGTGCAACACTTTGAAGAGAATATAGTGCATGTGCACATGTAGCATGTTTGTTTCCTAAAGCACTAGCCTAAATGTACTCTTAGTGGCTTTGATGATTTTTAAGAGCAAACCTCCACTGAGGCCAGCGCCTTGTCCCCGTAGTGACTTCGACTCCCTGAACGAAGAGGACGTTGTCCGAAACAACCAACTGGCGTTTGATGTGGCTGAGCGGGAGTTTGGGATCCCCCCAGTCACCACAGGGAAGGAGGTGGGCTCCTCTGCCGAGCCCGACAAGCTCAGCACGGTCATGTACCTCTCCAAGTTTTACGAGCTGTTCAGAGGCACGCCGCTGAGGGCCATGGGTAAGCCGAGCCTGGGCAGCACTAGCTTTCATGGAATTGGGGAGTGGAGCCCCCTTCCCCAGGTGGCTCCCAAACAGACTGGGAATGCTCATGTGGCCCTTTTGCTCTGCAAGAGTCGTCTCCCACTTAGAAAAGATGGGAGGGAATGTGATTTGAGACCAGGGTTTTGCTGGTCCTGAGTGGTTTTGGGGAACAGGAGCAGCTGGACAACTACTGCTTAGCAACATTAAGTTCATATATCAGGTCACCAGGGTCACTCTGTTGTAAGAATGACATGATCTCTACTGTATCTTCATTCCTGGGCATTTCTCTTCCTTTCTTTAAAAAAAAAAAAAAAAATCACACCTACTTTGTACAAAGTTGTTTTTATTTGCCCATGTTTCTCTTATATAATTGCTACTAGTATTTGACTGCAAAAGTGCTGGCTTTGAGAAAGTAATTAAAAATCTGAATGAATACACTAAGCAGTCTATTCTGAACAGATGCTGGGGACAAGCAAAATGGAGAAAATGATGACCTCTGTTCAGCAAAATCATCAAACTTCATCTTCAATAATTACATCAATTTAACCTTACCAAGAAAACGAGTACCAAAGGTAAGTTGCGAGGGAAAGGTTGCCCTATAAGTCTTTCTCTTTTTAAGAGACGAAAGGAAACTTTCAGGTGCAAAAGGAAGTATTTTATGTATCTTACTCTTAAAAGATCTGTAGAAAGATATTTGTGAGCATATTAAAAAAGTAAAGTAAGATTCCACAGTAAACAAAGCTAACACACGCACCCCCTCTCAGTCATTGACACTTGTAATGCTAAACCTGAAACATTGTCACTGTCAAATCAATGAAACATTAATAATAGTCCCAATTAAGTGTTCTTTGTAAATGAAAAATTCCTAATCCTGGTGAGAATTTGGGTATATCTGAGGAGCATTTATATTCATTGTCTATGTCAGTCCTCTTTAATGTAAATAAATGTAAGGGCACATGTTTCATTTAGTTTGTGTATAAGTTGTGGTTTTCAACTTGGAGCGTTCCAGATTTTGGTTCCATTACCTGTATTTTCTTTTAACTTTACCTTTTGAAAATTTTCCAGCAGGTGTTTTGAGGAGGTTTTGCACAATGCTCGACATTACATTTTATAGATTTTTCAAGAAGATGAGGGAAAGATGAATTTTTCCAAGCATAGTTATTTCTATCTTTAAGAAAAGTAGTGCAGTAGTTTTATATTCCTAGAGTTAAATCTATGGCCATAATATTATATATCCTTTCAGGCAATTACTAGAACTCTAGAAGGCTTTTTGTTTGGGGAGTGGTGTTTGTTTTTTAACTAAAGTGACAATTTTGACAGTTTGTGGATGCAGTCAAGACTCTTGAGTATTGATAGCTAGTTTTGAAGGGGAGCCCTTCAAACCCTTATAAATGTATAAACCATGCAGCTAGAGCCTCTAGCACGACTCTAGATCCGGCTCCAAGATGGTGATTTATTCAGGAAAGCCCATATATTTTTCTGTCTCTCACTTATTGATGAAAATATGTTGGCATGTGCTTTGGGGGCACATTCATACCCTCAAATAAAACACATCCATGCCTGTCCATGTTGCCATTGAGGGCTACAGAGCCTTGAAGGGGTGGCGAGATCAGAGTTAATGCTGTCTGACATAGGATCGTGTGCACTGAGAGTATTGTCCATATATTTCTGAAGGGATTGTAACTTCAAAAGTTTCCTATGACTTAATTTAAAAGTTACTCTAATAAAATTATTCAGTAATAAACTATTTCACCTTCTGCCTCTTCATTAACTTGGTCCTCTTCTGAAGAGAGACCTTCAGGAGGGGCTTTACTTTCACAGTGAAGCCTACCTTCACTTTAACTTCATTTTAAGTGGGGAGCGTCTGTAAAATCCAACTCAAAGTCAGCAGTGTCTCTCTGGAGATTGCGCCAGTCCAGCTGCTGCCGCTTAGCCAGCACAAGTTCGACAGCAGCATGTACTCAGCCACCAAAATTAATTTAATTTCTGTGTTCTCTGAAGCTCAGCTCAATCCAAAACCGTTTCGGGTTTGCTTTCCTGAGCTCGCCTGAAACTATATAGCAACCATGATAATTTTTAAGTCTTTTTTTTTTTAAACAGACCTCCCTCATATTTAACTTTATTACTTCCCTATGCAGTATTTGCCAATGCAAACACTCTAGGTTTTGCTTGCGAAAGTATAGATTTCCCACTCCTTTTTTAAGTTCAGTGTCCTTAATGTGTATGTGCTACAATTTTCACTGTTTCAATATATTGATTTTTAAACTTGCTTCTATCTTATCTTCTAAGTTTTGGTATAATTTTTTTTGTCACTTGAAAAACTACTTTAGAATGTCCAGATTTCTCATAGACTGACTTATGTCTTGAATATTTTCCATCTGTAAACACGTTTTCAGATCCTGTGGAGTCAGTTGCCCAGTAACCTCATATGTCCTTGTTAGGAAATAACTTTTCCCTGCTACCCACATATACACAAACCAAGGTGACATGTTTCCCAGCTAACCAAGCAGTGAGAAACTAAGTAGGCAAAATAAACATTGCTTTTTCTTATGGTGACTTCTTTAGAAGAAAAAGTTTTTTTTTTTTTTTTTTTTAATAATTGCAGTGTTGTTATTTACCCTGAGTTATTCACAGAAGTAAAGAAACTTTTAGTAGTGAAGAGAGCTTTCCATTACCAAGTCATCCAGTTGTCTGACTAACCTCCTGCCATGAAGTATGCTGTCTGCTATAGCAGAAGAAGTATTTCTTGGCTCTACATAAAAGCATGAAGTGATTTGCTTGATCGGCCCTTTTGGTTTCACATACAGGGGTTGTTAGAAAAGAGAAATGGTAGCAGTGCTTTCCAAATTTGAGGAGTAAGAATATCGAGATCACTTCTGTATGTGAGGCTTTGCACCTTGTCACGGATGACGTGTGAAAGCTTAGCATTAAACATGCCACCTGGTTCAGCACAGAGGCTTGCGAAGGCCGTACCTTCCTGAAAATGGCTGGGAAATGAAGCTTGCTGGAAGGCAACTGCTTGAGTTGGGCTTTGGCCATGACCTCAGCTTTATGGTTCTTTCCCCTGCAGAAAGCAGTGTCAGGCGTTATCAAGGTATGACAGTAGGAGACCACTTCAGCCTCACAGGCTGTCCAAAACTAACTGGAGTGAAAATGTGTCACTTGCTAAACCATCTGCGCCCTCCAGCTTGTTCTTTTGTAGGCTACAAGAGGGATCTTTATCTGTGCGTGGCTTGCGGGAGACCAGGACGTGGGAGCCTGGCGTGAACGCAGCGGTAGCTGTCTGGCAGCAGGTGCTGGGCTTGATAAAGTTTTCCATTTCCCTGTTAATGTCAGCAGAGCTCTAGAGGAACTGAGATTTCCTCTGCTCCAGACTAATAAAGGAATTTAGGTGTTTACACAATAAAAGGCACAATCCTCTTTCTTGGCATTTTGCTAGGCAATTACGGTTGCCTTGTTTTTCACATCTTTGTAAATATGTTAATTAAAGCTCTTTGTGTAAGATTTTGAAAGGCAACATCTTGTTTGCTTCATTCACTTAGGCAAACGCTACTTTTATGTGGTACAGAGTATTATGCAGAATATATTATGCTGTTATGTTATTCCTTCGTTTTTTGTAGACTGATGATTATAGGTAGCGTAGAGATAGATTACTGAGAGCGACTACTTGAAAGACGCTGTACCAAAGCATGCAAAGCAATCAAAATATTGTCATCTAACTCTTTTGGTATTTGCCCGGAAGTTGTTTGGGATTACTTCCATTCACTGCATAATGATTTATTATAAACAGTGAACATATAAAAAGGAAGTCTGTATTTTTTAATCTTTCTTTTTTGTTTTCTTTTTTTCTTTTTTTTGTTGTTTGTTTTCTTTTTTGTTTTTTTCCTCTGTGTTTTTTGTTTTTTCAAGCTGGCTGAGGAATCACAGAGTTATAGCATGAGCAAATGCAAATGACTGGAATGTAGTTTATTGTTCAGAAAACATAACCTGCCATGACATTTGCCAGGCAAAAAGCTCTCCAAGTTGTAACTGCATATTTCATATAGAATGTGTGTCATTTCTTGTAAATTTTGCCCGGTCTTTAAGACTGAATTTAATAAGGAATTATACAAATTTTTAAGTATTGACTCTCTTGAAACTTTGTGCAGACTGAGCATGAGGTACCGTTTATTGTTTGTGTGATCTCTAGTTCACTAAAATAATTAAATACATGCGTAGCTTGAGTGCAAAACAGAATTTTTTTGCTTAAGTACTATGTAAGGCCACAGACAGGGAGATGAACATTATAAGGGAGACAAAGTTCTGAGGCAGACAATAATTGCTCTGAAACAGGAGATGCATCTCCACGATGGACGGCCATGCAGATAGAGGTGGGGAGGCTATAGCGCGAGAGAGAGTTTTTTTGGATTTTGTTATTTATTGGGAAACCAATGTAGTCTAAATTAAAATAAACCAAGTAGCCCATGCTGTAGCACCATTTTTTGGGTCAAGAATGTGGCAGTGCTTTATGAACTACAAACTAATTAGTAGTGAAAGAAGAAAAGGCCAGTGCCGATGTTAGAGGGCCTCTGTTCAACAAAGTCCATGAGCACATAACTTCCCCCTGCAGAGTCCAGTAGGAGTTCTCAGTTACCAGCCCGCTTTTAAACATGCGATTGCCGACACTACGGCTGGGATGGCTGCTCGCAGGAGGGCCGTGATGAGGCACGCAGTTGTAACCAGCACCCCAGCACATGGGCCCTTCTGCTCTCAACCCTGACCAGGCCACATTTTCTGGGTTATGAGAGTTGTCAGTCCGGAAGGAGCTGGTTGGGTCAATTCGGTAACCACAGTAGTAATCCACGTGCTTGGTCTTGGCTTTGCCGTTTCAGGTTGAAGGGAAAGCAGAGGAAAGCGAGACCAACAAAAGACGTCGGAAAGGGGTTTTCGGTGCCTTTGAGGAGGTGGGTGTCCAGCAGTGTCAGCACAACCCCAGCTCCTTGCTGAGCGCTGGGGCTAAGGCAGCAGCGGAGTCGGGGCCTGGGGCCTGGCCTTGTGCACGTGGGAACAAAATGCCTGCCGTCTTAAAATCCTGACTTTACCATGGTGTATGCTGAAGAAGAGCTAAATTTCCTTAAACCATTAGTTAGGAAGAGGCTGTTACCTAAACTGCACTGTTTTTCTTTCTGACCTTGTAACATCTGAGGATTCTTTTTTTTTTTCTCCTCCTTTTCCCAACTCAGCCATTTAAACAGATTTTTGTCTGAAAAGTTCTGAAAAGCTTTATATTGCCGCTTGGTTCCTGCTTCCCCTCTTGGATGAGTTATTTTGTGACTCCCCCGTTTATCACCAGTAATAATTCACGTTCCCTTTTCCCTGTGCTTTGAGAACAAAGAAAATAATTCTTTAGCAACTCTTGCATGCTAAACAGCGTCACTTTTAATATACTGCATTTCCTTTCCTTCTTTGGCAGTAAGGACATTATTACCTCTCTATCTTTTCATGACTGTCACATATAAACTCGAGGAAAATGTAGTCTGTTGTTTCCTTGCAGGCTTCAGGCTTTTCAAGCCAAGGATCAAGTTCTGGGAAAGAACCAAGTGATGGTAGAGAAGGTGTGAACCAGAATAAAGTTAAATCAATGGCAACTCAGCTGTTGGCAAAGTTTGAAGAAAATGCTCCAAATAGAATTTTTCGGAGGCAGGTAGGTTATAAGTGAACATAAATCATCTTTGAAATTCAACTGTGGTCCCTCCTTGTGAACGTGATGCAGATGTCAGAGGGGAAAATGGATTTCTAATGTCTTTGGTAGATTTTCTTTCTTTTTTTTTTGTACTTTATGCAAATTAAGTGTATTCCTCTCAGTGGTTAGGGAACAGATATGACCAGTTAGAATATAAAATGCCAATTGCAGATTAATATAGCATATTTATATATTGTATATTAATATAGTGAAACTGTAGTGTCTGGAACGTTCTTGTAAGTCTTGTCTGTAGGATTCTTACCTTTTTTCGGAAGACTAAGTTGGCTGCTTATGGTAGTGCAGAAGCACTCTTTTTTCTTTACTCAGTTTAAAGGACACTAAATAACCATTGGAATCTTTCTTTGTGCAAAATATATAGAAAGCATGAGAGGGGAGTGTAATCTTTTGCAAGGTGTGTCCAGCTTCCATTCCCATTCCTCAGTTGGTCATAATGGCACGTACTCCTAACTTTCACAGGGTTTTTGTAATTTGTTTTTAGTGCAACTAGTGGTGTTTTAAAAATAATCCTGTGCTGCCGAAGTAGTGATTTTATGTCAAAATCACACTTTAGCCAGCAGGATGCTCTGGTGAGCCAGCTGAGTTCAGATCCATCATCCTAGAAGATCTGAAGGAAGGATGTGCAAGGTGTTGATGTTACGTCCAGTGTGCTGGTTTCCTAATTCTTTGTTTGTATCTCTTCCTTTATTTATATATTTAAATCCTCAAGAAATGTAGGCCTTATAGATATCAAGTGACTTTCTCAGTCTGTGAACCATTGCTGTTTGCATGCTGACATGCAAACATCCTGAGCTTACTGTGCGTGACACCTGTGCAAGGGTTTGCTTGGCTGGGATGGAGGAAGCCTTGATGTGTAACTCTTGATGATAGCATCTCTTTGATAGTACTGAACATACTGAATTTTAAGTACATCTGTGATGGTAGAAGAGATTAATAAAATGTGTAGCCATCAAAAATCTGCAAAACATGTTGTTAAGCGCTGTAGTAACCTGTCTTTGTAAACAACTCTTATTTCTGTCTTCTGAGGAAGATCTTGCAATCCTATTTAACTGTCTTCCTGACTTTTTTTTCCCCACTCTGTCTTTGTTTGTGACTATAAAAATGCTTTACAAGGAGCTAGTAGATAGTCCAGCCCCGCTCTCTTCTTCTGGCCCTCCTGTTAATCCTCGCTTTGCTAAACCTAAGGATCCAAGTCTTCTTCCACCTCAACTGAAAAGGCAGGTAGGAATTCATCAGGGTTGCACCTGACAAGCTTACTGTTTCTCTTACTGCTGGGGACTCGTTGTTGTTGCATAACTACAGGATATATAAAATTAAATGTGTATGTAATTTGCAGACTTAACAGCTGTATTTAGCAGAGAATTGTGAAAATTACACTGAAGTTTAAGGTTATTTTGTGCTTGCCTAACTAGATGAGAAAACAATCTGAAAGAATTAGTAGCTGCATGTAAAGCACACTAAAAATATATGGGTTTGGATTTCTGTATTACTATACCTAGATCCCAAATTGTATAAACACCATTGCGTGTCTACATTTCGCATCCAAGAAAACTGCTGCAGTACATGAAAAGTGTCCATGCATGTACCCAACACTGTGAGCTGTCATAGTGATAAGGCAAAGGGAGTTTTCAGCCCCAAGAAAACCGGCAAAGATGCCCAAAATAAAGGTGCGAGCAATTGAAAGCTGAGACTGATGCCCCAATTTTCTATATCTTTAAGTGCAACTTGTAGTGAGAGTCTCTGCTGGAAGCTATTTGCAGTGTCACATAAGCAGGGCAAAGTTTTCTAATACATTAGAAATATTGTTATGAAACTGTTATGAAAAGACCAACTGGAAAATCATTTTTAAGACTGAATTTGACAAAGCTGAACTGGGTCAGTTGTTTCATTTACTTCAAATGCCATTTTGTACGGTGACTCAAATTCAGAGCCTTATTCCAAACGGCTCAGAAAGTGCTTTAGATCTGAAATATGTTATAGCTTGAATCAGAGGAGAGTAAACTACTGTTGATGTTTTTACAGTTTGATTCATTAGTTTAAGGCAGATTGTGATAATGCCATTTGCTAAAAAAGCCAGAAAGAGAGGTGATGTCATATTCTTCTCCACTGACACTGTTTTGCAGTTTTTCATAAAAACTGAGACAAACCTGTAGAAGGATGTCAAGACCTGCAAAAGTTACGCAGCACTAACATATGTCAGTGCATGGACACAAGCATGAGGTGCACGGCAGACAGTTTAACAGTGTAATATGAAGAGTGCCCTGGGATTCAGAAGAACATTTCATTTCTCATTGTGTGCATGGCTGTGCTATGCTTTAACAAGCATCCTTAAAAGCTGCATATACTGCATGATAGTGCAAAAAGCAGGCTTTTTCACTTCATGTTTCCCAGTTTCAGGTGTTAGCTAGGACTGAACACGAGGTCAGGGAACCCAAACAGTCTTTAAACGGTTCTGACCATATGGCCAGGAGAGCAAAGACTGTAGGAAAAGCAGAAACCCAGCCCAGTCTTTCAGAAAACTCTGAAACTCTCGCGTCTGCCTGTTCTGCTGCATTTGTACTTTCTGGAGTGCTTGAGCGTCTTCAGCACCTGGAGGAAAAAATGAAACAGGTGACAAGTAATTTTTTTCCTTCCTCTCTCTTAACTGCATTTATTAATCTGTATTCTATATTTTCTCTGGATATGCTGGCTTTTTCTCTCTTAATTTTAGGTTATAATAAGACAATAAAAGGTCTTTCTACATGCTTGCTGCATTCTGACAATGTATGTGACATTGACTAAAATCTTCCTCTCTTTTTCTTTTCTTGCTTTTGCTTTCCTGGCTCTTACTGCAGAAAAGGGCTCAGACCATAGCAAATAGGGAATTCCATAAAAAGAACATTAAAGAGAAAGCAGCACATCTTGCCTCAATGTTTGGATGCATGGAGTTTCCAAAGGTGAATATCAGGTTTTGCAGCTCTAGAAGTGCTTGTTAGAAGATCCGTATATAAAGAATGGGAAGGGGGAAGCATTTTTGTTTTTAAATTTCCTTTCTTCCTGAGTGGATCTGAAAAGTGGTTCAGATTCCAGTGAAACTGGTAGTGTTTTGTTAAAATATCATTGCATAATTTAATTGAGGTATTACACAATCATAAAGCTAGTCAGACTACTTTAGCATAAGAGAAATCTGATAGAATAAATCACGTCTTGTGCTTGCATATGTGCTGGTAGTTCATAGAATTTCTAATGAATTGAGGAACAGTAGCTCTCCATCAAGTACAATTCAGTGTTTAGAATTTTGTTATATTTTCCCTCAGCACTGTTTTACCTTACTGTCCGTTGGAAATATTTTTGATGAGAGAACGGAGTATAAATATTTTGTTTGACATGAACGTTTTGCCATGGCTCCTTGCTGTGCGAGAACACAGACTAGAGCAGAATTATGCAGTTACTGTCTTCCTGATTTTTTTTTTTTTTCCCCACGCATGACTGTGAGATTATTCTCTTAACCTCTGCTAATGCCCTTCTCTTGGATAACTCTCCTCTGTTTCTGCTCTACACAGAATAAGCTACCTACTAAAGGCTTATCCCACTCTCAGCCCCCAGCTCCCCCTTGCCCTCCTCCTCACGGCTCAGCTGCTGCCTCTTCTCCATCGTCTGTTGGTTCAGCTCCCCCCACTGCTCCTTCTACACAGGTATTCTATTCACGCGTTATTCCTATAAAACCCAAATTTGTGCTAAAGCTTCTTGAAAAGTGGCTTGGTGCTGCCTTTGCATAGAAGATTTGTTGTATAGTCTGTATTTCACGTAAGAATTAAACTTCACCTTGTTCACTGCTGTTATGTCTGCATGTTTGTAAGAGAAAAATCATTGTTAAAATAATTCTGATAGAAAGCTAAAGAACAGAGCAAATGTCTTTCAGAAGTTAAGCAAAAATCCTGTTAATTTTGCATTGCTGCTACTTTTAAATGCTCTATTGTTGGATAATAGCACAGACAGGCCTAGGAGAATGAGATTCTTCACATTATATGGCAAACTGAATAATATGGGATTGTTGGTTGGGCTTGGGCGGTATTTGTCTTTGTTTTCGTAGGAGTATCAGTCTGACTTGAAGGGAAGCACCTGGATGGTAATGATTATTTTAAACAGAGAATGCGTCTTAGAATTGTATGCAAGGACAAAAAAAGCACTCATTGTTGAAAAAAGCGAGAAAAATATCAAGATCTCTTTAGGCTTTTCTGTCCCACGGTGCTGATGCTGGCTGGAAGTTGCGCTCACAGATGCAGAAGTAGCTGTGCAGGTAGATACGGGGCTGCCCTGCAACTATAAAGGCACGTTCCCTGGATCAGACAGAGGCAGTCGGAAAGTCTCCCTTACCCTCTCGTTCCCCAGGAAAATACGGGCTGCAAAGCCTTTCAAGGGCACTGCAAGCCTGACAAGCGCCACACTGCGGTAATCCCCTAATCCCCTGCAGTATCCAAATCATTCTTTCACCTGAATTTACCTATTGCTTTTTGCGATCCAGGAGGTATTGCATGTGTCAGGTTTTAGGCTAAATAATGATTTTCAAAATATCAGGGCCTGTTGCTCACTCGCTTTGGAGAACTACTGTGGCACTGTAAAGAGAATAAAAGATAATGTGAACCACCCTTTAGCACAAGGGAATTAGACTATTAATTGTATGGAAACCCTTTAGAAGCAATAATTTTACTAGGATTTTTACATTTTTGTTCTCAGAAAACATTTGACCTGTGTGATTGTTTTTGGATGTTTTAATTCAATAGTGTTCTATTTAAAATGCACTCGCAGCCTTTTATTAGTTTGCGATTGTATTTAAACGGTGTAGCATTAATTTCGTGTGGTGTGGTTACTTGATTTCAGTCTGACTGAGTTTACTATAATTTAAAATGCTCTCTCCAGAGGTAATGGCAGAGTAGAGGCGCTACTGAGGCTAAAAAAGCTTGTTCTGTCACCAGCACAGTAAACTTACCTTCATCTCATTTGGTAAATATGTGACTGATGATGTAGAACTACTTATATTCAGTGACAGACCAACATGGGTAGGAGCTGGCTGTGCCAACGCGTGTTGGGAACAACGTGTAAGTAAAGCTGATCCTATTCTGGGGATGGACAAAACGGCCTTTGGACTGACATCCGTAGGTCCATTATTTTACCTTAATAATGTCGTTGTCAGGCCTTGACGGGTGTGCACAGCTTTTGCTCATGTTTGGTGAGGTCTGTTCAGTCTTGTTATGCCACTGTTAACTTGAGTTTTACCTCTCTTTGGCAATTAAGTGCTCTTCCTCTTTGAATTACACGAACCACATTTTGGATTACCTTTCTTTAATTCTCAAGCAGAATTTTTCCAAGATTTTTTTTCCCAAGATTCTTTTTCCAAGAATTTTTCCAGATTTTTAAACTGCTGTTTCTTGCTTTAAGTTTATTAATTTTTCAGGGAGCATCTGCTACCTTGATTTCATAACAAGCAATCTATCTGTCCCCTCCCATGGTTCAATTGTTGTCACTCTTATTTTTAACTTTCCACGCTTTTTGGAACATAAAAATTGCATTGTACTCTCTAAAGCACTGACTAACTGTACAGCACTATAAAATTCAATAATATCTCAGGTGCACAGTGCACACTTTCAACTACTGTGCATGCTAATTTAACAGTATATTTTTGGACCTCTCTGTGGTAGATAGGTACTGGCAATTGCCTGTGTTCATGTTATTTTGAGGGTGGGTTTATAGTACCCGGAATTTGTGTTTTTGGTCTCTGTTCTGGAAGATATCACTAGGTAAATCTAGACGTTCAAATGAAAAAAGAGTTTCAGGATAGGTGAGCCAGCAGAAGGACCTCCTTCGTGTCACTCTGTGTTTCTTTATTAAGCGATGTCTCTAAAACAAGATCTAATTAGTCCTCAGATCCCTTTGCTTTCTGATCAGTAGCAACAATCTTGTTGGTAGTTGTTGATTAGGAAATGACAGCAGTCAGTACGCTTTTGGCAGCTAGGTTAAATTGAAATTCCTTTTGCTTTTACATGGAACGTGCATTCACGTTCATTACAAGAGTATTTCCTTTTTATAATATTTTAAGAGTATATGTAAGCATGCAATTTTCTTGTTTTGACTGCTTAATGTTGACACAGATTGCTCTAATGGGTGGAGAACAGAAATCAAGCAACCTTGATTGCAAGGATGAATTGCAAGGTGTAGTTCGGGCTCAGTGATACTTTTCCTGAGCTTCAAATACTTGCGCTTTAAGCGTAGACTTATTGCTTAAGTGATTGCTTCAGCATATGACTAGTTCAAGGTAAACTTCCTGCTTCAACTGACTTTCAACACTCTCTTGAACGTAGGAGCTTATGGGGTAATAGCTATATGCAGCCTGAAAGTTGCTCAGCATATTCGCAGGTGCAGAATGTTGGGAAGAAAATTTGATTTTCTGTGACCTTAAACAATGCTAGGTTTTTCTTTAGGAACAAGTAATCTCACTTTTAGTATTGGATTCTAATTTAAATATACCATTTAGGACAGCATTGTAGTATATAATTTCAAGTTTACTTTGCTGTTTTTACCCCATAAGTTGTACAGATACTGAATAACATTTTAATAGTCTTATATTAAATAAAACTAAGTAGGACAGAAATTTGTCCTCTGAATGGTGTTTGTCATCTTAACATGCATATTTTACATCTCTCTGGATATTAAGGACAAGCTTAATTATGGGATAACTCTCAAAAGATCCTTGGAGCTGTAAGAGGCTGGGCATGTTCCCAAGTTCCTGAAATAGTTCAGTTATTTTTCTTGCTTTTGTTAGCAAAAATATTTGTATGCATCAGAGTTTTTGAGAAAAATAGCCACAGTGCAATATCATTACTTTTAAATTTGCTAAAATGCTTTAAATTTATTTAAAAATATCATGAATAACTTTGCATTTATATTTTTCTCTGTTCTTCAGAGTAACTTTCTGACATTTTAAAACCCTTCCATTAGCAAGAGTTTGTATGATGGCAGTGGAAAATTCATTTCACTAGGAAGCTTGGGACTTAAAATTTGGGCTCTGTCGGGGGCTAATGGAGTGTAAGATGTGAGATCATGGATTCTCTGTGCTGGAAGGAAAACGTTCTGGCTTTGTGTCCTGGCCATACCAGTATTACTCTTGCTGCCTTTGGGTTGCCAGAGAGGTTGTGGAATCTAATTTTGGCTATAAAACTAGAATCAAAATCACTATAATAAATTTAGTTAAGGGTAGCTAATCTTACCATAAGTCTGTGAAGCCTTCACAGCCTTTTCTCAATGAGCAGAGACCTAGAGTACCTCCTAGTGACAGATTATTAGCTCATGCTGTTTACTGGAAAGGTATCCCTGCTGCTGTGGAAATCAACATTCAGGCATTCTGCACTTTAGAGCAAACCAAACAAAGAAACTTGATCAGGAACAATGAGGGTCTGATTTGTAGCAGCTAATGATCATTTTGAGAGATGGCGGATCGTTTTACGTCTGCTGGAGCTTGGGCTGAGGATAATGTTGGTGTAGGTGTTGATGATGCTCTGGTGACCTGGCAATCCTGGAGCGTAAAATACATCATCCCCCCTGCCACACACATGCATGCACCCTATCTTTTCTTCCTTTGCAGTCCCCAAGAGTGTTTTGTTGTGAGGAAGCCTGGAGTGTGTAGTTGGTGCTCCATCCCAGATGAGTTTGGAGCCACAGCCCAAGGAATTGCAATCTCCTTGTAGTCCTGTTTGATTAATTTACTTAGAAATAGTCTAACATTGATGGCATGATTAAGCAGATAACGGAAATGTGTTCCTCTCATGAGGATAGTTTCTCAAGTTTTCCCTGCTGTTGAGGTGAGTCATTGGTAGGAAAAGAACGCTCCTGGGTGAGGGTTAATGAGACAAGTCCTTACGGGACTGCTAGGGCGTTTTTGTGGACTGTGCTATGAAACGCTACAGTTTGGGGATGGTTGATGTGACATTTTGCCTTTTTCCTCCACTTTTCTGAAGTATAACACCAAACTTCTAAAAATTTGAAGTGAAAAATAAGATTTTTTTTAGTCTATCACAATGGTCCAGCAAGTTTAGGGATCTTGTACAAGCTGCTTGAAGTGCTAGCAGAAACTCCCAGCCAAGCTATTTGGTGCCTTCCATGGACATAGCCAGAGGCCTTTTGCCGTTTGAGCTGCGTTTGCTCCCAACAGCTATTTTCCCATCATCTTCAGGGAGAAGTGTGCAGGTGTGAGAAGGCCTCCTGTGGCCACCAGCTGGACCATGCTGATCACGCATGAACTTACTTATTCTCTGCTGGACTTTGCCTCTGCTCTTTCACTGCTTGCATGCATTTGCATGTTTTCAAATGACTTTTATCCTTTTCTCATTACATTCTTTTTCAAAAATAACTAAAGCTCTTGCTTCAATTCTTCATCTTCTCCCCTTTTCTGGTTAGATGACTGTAGGAAAGGTTTCACGTGCAATTGGAGCTGTGGCTGAAGTTCTTGTCAATCTGTATGTGAATGATCACAGGCCCAAGCCACAATTTTCCCCCCTTGAACTGGTAAGGCTAAACCCGCCAAGAAACAGTAACTTGACTTAAAAGAGCAGTGTTTCCACAGTGTCACCCGAGCTTAAGACCTGGGTTGTGGAACACTTTAAGCACAATGAGAGGTCTTAGTCCAACACTTACTGAAGAATCGAGTGCATATTGTCAAAATATGCTGATGTATGGATATGCTGGAAACATTGTGCACCATGTCTTCTACTTACTTATTACTTGTTTGTATGAGTTAAAACTTTATGAGGCTTTTATTAAATGTAATTACTGTACAGTTAGTAACAGAAGATAATTATTAATGAGAGCAGCTTCTAGAGAAAATTTTATACAGTACATGTTTATGCATTTATTTTAACATTCAAATGAATCACCATGCTTGACTTTGAGGAAAGCTGTCTTTAAACTCTGGCAATATTCTGTGTTGGATTCAGAACCAGTCACTGGACAGAGCTCCGAGTTCTTGCCCTGTTTCCCACACTGCTTCTCCATCTTCTGCTCAGAGTTGTCAGGTATTGGGAAGCTGAGTAAGGTGGTGTGTTGCGGTGAGGATACTTACTTATTAGCCAGCACTAAACTCCAATTGCTTCAGCTTTACTGTAGCTATCTATCTGACTTATTCCATTAATATATTGGGTTTTTTTTTAAATACATTCTTAACTCTTTTCCACTTGCATGGTTGTTCGTTTGGGAATTTTCTTGTAGTTCGTTCTCCAAAGCAATCCACCACAGCAAAATGGATTACCTAATGGCAAGTTCGAACTAGTATTCTCACTTTTAAGCACAAGAATGTGACAGTTGTAACTTACAGTTAACATTAAAAAATTGTTCCGAGGTGTTCGTTTGCTGGTATATTGAAGGTCAGTGGTATGGTTTGTGTGCTGCCTGTGGCACAGATGAGGGTGAGGTTTGGCACAGTTCACGTACACACAAACAGCAACAGGGGAGAAGGAAGGGGGATGGTTGGGGAGGTGGTGGCAGCAGCAGTAGCAATAGGACACTCATCTGTACTGACCTCTGGGCAGAATACAGTCATGCAAAGTAACATTGTCATACTTGCCTCTACTAGGAAAAATGAAGCCCAATGGTATCTAATCTGTTTATAATTTATTTTTCTGTGCCTTTTGGATGTATATCCAGAGAGCATAAGGTTTATGGGGAATTAAAGAACGTTAATTAATAGGCCCAATTCAACAAGAACATTCAAGATAATTTCAGATTGCTAATATGGATCATATTTCAAAAACTACATTCTTTAAAGTATTATGAGTATTCATGGTAGGAATGAAATTGATTTTTAAAACCACCTAAAATGCTGCTTGGGCTGTAGTCCCACCAGGAGCATGGCCAAGAGGGGAAGCATGTCTGCAGCTAGTTGCAAGCGGTGGCTCAGGCACCAGCATCTCAGACTGCCCGTTTACTTTCCTTACCCTTAAAGCATGAGACTGGATTTTCCTCAGGGAGCACTTATGTACTGAGCTGTTGGGGGCGTTTTTTTTCTTAGCTCCAAATGCATGTCTGTTGTCCACGGCTGGCAAGATCTGTGTTAGCCGCCTTTGGAAAAACACCGATGCTAGCACCCACTAGATGGGGGTGCCTGAAGCAGCCAAGTCCAGGGTGACAAGTGGGGGTTTTGGGCAGATGCTGCTTCTGTGCCTATGTAAACACAAAATGTGACTCCTAGGTGGAAGTTGGGTGGAAGCGTGCCCATTAAAATTGTTATAGTGTCTAATTTATGAATTGTTGCATAAATCTGCAGAACTTCAGCAAATGAGCAGTAAAGAGCTGGCCACTTCTTAACTGTGTGAAGTGTGGAGAGGGCTGTGTAAAACTGGCAAGCAGCTAAAGCAGCTGCACGCTTAATAATTTATATCTGGGTGAAGTGCAATGGCTTTATATTCATCTCTGTTTTATCTTTTAACAGGGATCTCTGCGAAAAGAATTTCCTCAGTCTATAGGGGGGAGTGACATTTGCTATTTCTGCAAAAAACGGGTATATGTTATGGAGCGGCTGAGTGCGGAAGGCCACTTCTTTCATAGGGAGTGCTTTAAGTGTGAAATATGTTCTACAACACTCCGCTTAGGAATTTACGCCTTTGATGTTGAAGAAGGTAATATAGGAACAATTTAAGAATATTTTAAAATGTTGAATTAAGATGTTTTTAATGGAACTGGAGAAAAAGACCTGGCTAAGCAGTTCAGTCAGGAGGGCTGCCAAGTAGGTGGTTTGATTCTGCCCAGTCTTTGACTCTCTGTATTTACAGTTCTTGTCTTTCAAAAGAACCCAGTTATGACTGACTTAAGTTTTAAAGGAAGAAATGCATAGTGGAAAATTAGTTGAGCAACCAAAATATGGTTTGACTGATCGCAGTTCAAAAGGGCAGGGGTGATTTTTCTCTAGCTGCCAGCATTACAGATTTGTTCTCATCTTCCACCTCTAAGTCACTTTATTTAGTGGCCAGCTTTAAGAATAAGTTGGGGTAGTGGCAGATTTAAACAAATAAGGGGAATATGGGTTATTTCTTTCAAGATATTACGGCTCAGGAGTTGAAAGCAAAAGTATTACCCAAGCAGCAGTACAATTTATTTCAGTCTTCCGTAGAGATGGAGGTTTAAATCATAGTATCTAGATTCCACTTACAGCCTGTTTTTGTTGAGGTGATGAGGGTGGGCGGGAGGGGATTAGTGTGGTGTTTTCTTTTCCCTCCTATTTAGAGGGGAAATTGTTAAACTGTATCAAAATTCCCTTGCCATTTCCAAATGCTTTGAATAGATCTGACTGTAAACATGATCTTTTTCTATGAGAGGATCAAAAATGCAAGGCCAAAGTTGGCTCTTTTGCAATCCAAATAATCTTCTTTTAAGATTTTTTTTTTTTAAAGGATTACTTAATGATTTTTTTTTCTGGTTAACGTCTTAAGTTGGTTTTTGACTTGGTATTTGTAGAATCTTATTTTTCTGCTATTCAGTAAGCGTCAAACCTCTGCAGTAGATAAATGGCCTCACTTCATTTAACAAATGCGTAAATTCGTTCGCTGTTTTTAAAAAAAAAAAAAAAAAAAAACTAAAAAAAAAGTCAGATTTCCTAGTCAGTGGCAAGGCTGAGTTCAGTTGAGCAAAAGCAGTTTCCCATTCTTTTTGCTGCTTTCATCTTTTAAAGATATAATAGCAGGTTTTCAGTCCTTAGAAGTACAGTCCTTAGAAGTACAGATAAAATATATCATTTACTTTTTTTCCTTATAGGTAAATTTTACTGTAAACCTCATTTTACGCACTGCAAAATCAGTAATAAACACAGAAAGAGAAGAGCGACATTACAGGTCCAGGGAAAGGTATGTATTGGTTAGATATGTAATGCAGTAAATGTTGAAGTTTCTGCATTTCTGCATCTGGGGCATGGTGCAATACCTCTGTGTATGTGTGTGTGCAATTTTCTGCTTGATGCCCAAAAGCACCAAAGTCAATACTAAAAAGTAGCTTCCTGGTTCTGTGAATTTGGCCTATTTACAATTTGATTTTCAATGGAAATGACCTTTTCATCTGGAATGTAAAGTGGAACTTAGCATCAATCAGAAGTGAAAATTGACTTAATCTTTTTTAAAGAAGTTATCACTGCAAGTAAATTGCTACATTCTCTCTTCAGCATACCCTGTCCCAGTCATCTAGGTGCTGTCATCATTAATTTTTTCACCAATTTGCTTAAATCCTTTTTTGTAATCTAGTAAAATAAACAAAAGACTTAATCATCTATGTAAGGTGTGTATGTAGAAATATATAGGCAGCAGAAATTTGTAGTGTCATAGTCTAATCAGTGTGTCCAACTTAAGAATAAATAGCAATTTCAACATTTTATAGGGCATGTTCTTTTTATCACATGAATGGTATAGATACAAAATAATACCATAATACTGGGAGTTAGGTCATGTATAACTTGAAAATGGTATCAGAAACTGCAATTTCCATGGTTTTTTTTTCTGCCCCAAGTATATTTAATTTTTTTTTTTTAATGCTTTATATAAGGAGGCAACAGAAGCATGGAAGAAAGAGGACTGCAAAGCCACAGAAACCACGCCAGAAAGCACTTTAGCTACCGCTAGCAGTCCAGAGGACAGGTCCCCAGGTATCCTGCCTTCCTTCTTTAGGGGGGCGCTAGGCTGGCCCCTTCGGGTGACACGGGATCTGCTTGACATTCCCAGACGCCTGTCTAACTGGATGCATGGTTTTCTGCACGCTACCAACCTTCATTTCAGGGACAATGCGTATAACTATACCTATTTGTACGAACTCTTGAGCTTCGGTGTGCCATTCCTCTGCGCTCTTCTAGAGGTACTTACTCATATGTACCGGGAAGCAGAGCTATCACTTGAAAACATGCTTGAATGGGTGAAAAAAGTCTTTAGGGCTTGAATTCTTCTGTGTGCCTTGCTCGGTTGTGCCTTTCAGATTTTCAAAATTAACAGCCTTGCTTTTTCTTGAGAACTTTTTTTTTTTTTTTTAACCTTTTTGCAATTTATTGTGTAATTTAAAAGAACGAAGGATTCTTTCTGATATAGACTAGGTGCAATCAGAATTTTCAATATAAAATGTACTGTATGTTAAAACACATGAAGGGCAATGTCCAGACACATTTCCAGAACTTGGAGACTGATGAAGGATATTTTTTTAGATTTTTTGTTGTTCTCTTTTGTCCTGTCTGTGATCAGGCCATTTGGAGGGGAGGGGGAAGGGGGGGGCTATATTTTATAACCCTACTTTTTTAAACTTTTTTTTCTTGTTAGACCAAGAAAGAATGTGTGTTCTTTCAGACATTTGGAGAATATTTATGACAAATGACTGGGTTTTGAAACCTGAATATGGCGCATTCCTTTTTCTCTTGCTTTCATCTTTACTCTGGGTTATGAGGTTTATATTTTGCATGAATATGTTTATTTAAAAAAAAGTTAATTCATATTGCTCATAGTCATGGCTTTAAAATTACTTACATTTGATACCCTTTGTCAACAGTGGGTATAATCTGTACTACTAATTTATATAAAGTTTTGAAATAAATTTGAAGAGCAAATCTTAGTTGAGCGAAGGCTTGGTTGAAATTGTAAGTCAAAGAAACTGGTAGTGTAATTAAACATCACTTATTGCTCAAGTCAAAGCTTCCTCATTAGGTGGCTGGTTAAAGGAATATCAAGTTATGTGGCACTCATATCCAACTTAAATTACTGCTGTGTTTGCCTCCAGATGAGCACTGATCCTATTATATGTGGAATTCTTAGAAAATAAAAAAGAGTAGATCTAGAACAAACAACAAAAATGTACAACTATATTTTAAGGAGGTTACTTCTTAGCTAGGTCTTTCATTCATTTCAGTGTGCAAAGCTGATGGCAGAAAGATGAACTTGAATTATCTTGAGCAGCTCTTAAGAAGTTTTCTTTTGGGTGTCTCTCATCAGGGTCTACCTTAAGCAGAAGGCCTCAGTAGCAGGTATAGGGCTATTTAATGGCAAGGAGATACCAACAACATCCCAAAGTCTGATTGCTTTCTCTCAGCCTAGTTAGCCAGCGAGGTAAGCACGCTCCCTGACTCCAAGGTACCTAAATGTTTGAATTCAGAAGTTAACCAGAAAAGAGGTGAATACATAAATATGATAATATACATACCCTAGAATGGAAAGCTTTTGTAGCGCTTATTTCTAGCCAGAACATCATAAAGTAACAGGAAAATAATGTTGCATTCAGTTAGTACCAAAGCTGAGGATCACCTACCAGTGATCTTAAATGATTGTGCTGCTTAAGGGCATGCAGTTGTTTGATTTTAACATAACGTGAGAAAAGACCATTTGAAGTGATCTTATTTGTTAGGTATTAAAAATAAATGTGTTTTCTGTTTAAAATAAATGACAGAAATAGGATTTTTCCTCCAGATAATTTGACTTTCATTTTTTAAGCTATGAAGATAAAGCTTTTGACATTCTGGAGTGCTTACATGTTTGGGTGGAAAAATGTTAAGTAAATACACAAAACTTGAGCAAATGGTTTAAGAAAATTGTCTAGATATAAAGTAGCATTTGTTTGAAATAAATTGCCATTAATGCTCAAACACATATTTAGCAAAACTTTGCTAGAATTTTGACTGAGCACAGTGACCTTCATAGTAACATGGTAAGCATCTGTATATATGTAAAGGAATGTATCTGTACCTCTTTAGAGCATTTTTAAAAACTGTACTTTGAAACACTGTATACTTTCTAATTATTTCCTAATGACAGTAATTATTTCACTCTAATAAGGAAAGATTCTGCATTGTGATTTACCTTGTTACTCTTGCAACCCATCCAATTTAAGTGGCAAAGTTTTAAAATTTGACTCGCCATCAGTTTTGATTGCAGTTTGTCATCAGCATAGTCTTTAAGAACATTTTTTTTTTCCTGAAATTTTCTCCTGCTGTTCACTCTCAGAGATTTTCTGCTTTTCAGTAGAGTGAGCATAAAGGTAAACTTAGAGAAAATGGTGAAGTAGCAAGAAACTTGGAAATCTGTGTTAGCCCATGAACTTAAAATAAATGAATCTTACTAGTAGAAAGTAAAAACTAAAGGTGGTATTGGCTTTATATAGATCTATATAAAAGAAAGAAAAACCCTACATTTCCACAACAGAATTCAGAAGAAAAGCTTGCATAACTAAAACATTTTCCAAAGGAATCTTAATTGTATTACATATTCCCCCTGGGATTTTGCAAGTACTTTTGTTGGGAAGGTTGTTTACTGGTATCAATCTAACTGATAGATTTTCTTTTAATCTCTTTACCTTAAAACTCTATTAGTAAGATTCATACCTATTTGTCCATGTTCATAATTTAATGAAAAGAGATAGTTTTTGTTTTGGCTGATTCTTCTTTCTGCCTAAGTAACCTTTCTGATGGCTTCCTCTATAATCAGTCTAAGTTCTGTATTTTTTTTCTGCCGTCTCCCCTGTCAACCTCCCGCGTTGCCGTTGCTCTTAGTCCGTTTCGTCATTCCGTCGCCGCAACTGCTCACTGGCTGAAGCCTTTCTCCTCTCAGGTGATTTTTCTTCTGCTTGCCAGTTTGTGACTAACACTGTTGTTAGCGTTTAATTGCGGGTTTTTAAGACCATTTTGGAGCAAACTGTGTGTGTCTGGTATATTAATGGATTAGACTTTAAGCATGATCACTTAACCTGTGATGTGCTAGGTTTACACTGTAGCAAAGTTGCTGTCTTACTGCTCTGCAGAGAATGTTTTTTCCTCTCTGTCTGTGCATGTGCTTCCTTGTGCCTATAAGGTAAGTTAGGCAAGTAAGTTGTTTCTCGTCAAAAAAGCCTTATTTTCTTCAAAGTACTGAAAGAAAGATTTCAAATAATGTCAGGACAAGAGCCAGCTGACTCTCCTGGTTGGTGTGAGCACCTACTTCTGCTGAGCTCAAATACTGAATGAGCAAAGCAGTGTTTGAGGAGGGCTTTCTAAGCGCTTTTTGCTCTCACAATGAGAGTGATACAAAACTATACTTTCGAAAAAAGTAGCCAGAGCAATGCAAATTCCAGTCTTCCACCTCAAGTATCATGTTAGGCAGGCTTAGTAGAAATAGATTTGCATGCTGTTTTTTTAGTTCCTTAATATTAAAATGCCAAGTTTATATAACTAGAGTGTGTTTGGGTTTGAATTGTTTCGTTAACTAATATCAACTCTAACTAGGCCCCTTTTGCCGCTTTGATTAATGATTTTTGTCTTGCTGCATGAGATGTTGCCAATGTTCTCCAAGAAAAATTTGAGAGATTATTTTATCTGTATTTTTATTCATAAATTCCAGTGATGTGTAATCACATGCTGACGGTCTAAAATGGGAAATGAACCCAAACAAGAATCAAGGACTCAGACTGAGTGGTGAATGTCAGTAATTTTTGCTTGAAGTGGTCGTGGTGCAGCCATCCCTGTGGAGGGTCCTTTCCAGAGGGAAGGGCCTTTGGGAATGTGTCTAAGCTGCAATCCCTCGGAGGTGACCAACATGTACTGCTAATCAACCTGCTGCACACACCTGAGTCAGTTATCTTCCTGACCTGGATGTCTGCATGACCAAAGCAATAGTATTTATTTGTGTGGGTGTGCTAAAATGGCTTTGGAAGTCCCCTTGCCATGCCCACGGACAGGAACCTCTCTACATTTTAAGCAAGCATCACTTCCAGCACAAATGGCTAGGACATGACTTTCTATATGTTTTAGGGCTAGGGTGTTTTGATAACTAAGCTTAGGGTGTTTTGATAACTAAGCTCAGCATGCTTTGAGATGAAGGCTGTGACGTAAAGGTCTGCCATTTCAAATCACTTTCCGTTGCAGTGTTTTTTTTACCCTCTGTTGCAGAGTCTTCCTAGCTGCTCTTGGCCAGTGAGGATTCTGTCCTCCTCCTCCTAAGTCTTCTGTTTCCATTCTACTTTATAATCTTAACTGAATATTTTTATTAAATAGTTTTTAACTCTGTATTTAAATTTTCACATGGAAATTCTGTATTTTGCACACAGTGAAAATTGTTTTAGCTTTATTTATGGTATTTGCTGTAAATGAAAATAAATGCAGTTCTTTATAAGTCTCTTCGTTTCATCTCTTCCTTTTAAAAATATTACCTGAAGACAGAAACTTGATAGCAGTTGCTTCACACTGATTTCACAAATTTCTCTTCTGGTGGATGCTGTCATGGTATCTTTGCTAGGGCTAACCCTAAGGCCCAGTGAATCTCCTTGTGGTGTTACTATCACGTGTTTCTTTTGAAAGGACTTATAGGACCTTGACCCTTAGATACTGCACGAGTTATCCCATCCGCTTCAGATCAGGAGGTGTGTGGTGCTGGGATTTATTCTTCTTGGGAGAAATAAGTTGGGTGTTGATGAGATTGGGGGTTGCTTATGTTGCATACACAAGTGGCACTTGACCTCTTCTCTTTAACTTCTGTTACTTTTCCTTATGTTCTTATTTTACATACTAACAAATGTCATAATAGTCATGCTATGTTAAATGTGTTTGGGGTCTCATGTTCAGAAAAAGCAGGTGATTATTGTGGGTAAAGCTTTATCATTGCTGCTGCCTGCAGAGTGCTATCTGCAAGCTCCAGATATCCTTGGATGCTGTGGATAATGCTGACCTGTTACCTGATAGCAGTGGTCTCTGCTTACTTACTTCACTTCCCTTTGCTCTGTCGTGGGTTTTTTATATTTTCATTTTTGTTTTTAAAGCTGATGGTGTGGTTCTTTTTAAACAGCAGGTTCTCCAGAACAGCTTTCCTAATTCTTCCTCCTCTCTATCCTCTTTTTTTGCTCACCCTGCAGTTCTGAAGCTATAATATCATCCTCTGTATTTCAAGGGGAAAAACAAATCCCAGACAGAATAGTACGAATTGAATAATAGAAAGATGGTTGCTTTTTTTTTTAAGTTAATTCAGATTGAGCCTCCCTAGAGTTACTTGAACGATGGAAATGATTTTTTTTACAAGTGTTGTTAAGAGACAAAATTGCTAAAGAACAACAAATGTTATTCTCAATGAACTATTCAATTTTTCCTGCCAAAAAAAAGCCACCATCCACAGTAGAAAGTCTGCCATCCCAGGAGGAGATGATTTGCATAATGAAAACATAGAGCAGCAAATATCATTTAAAACAATACTTGGCAGCTCCTTAATTGCAGTGGAGAAAGCCATGTGGATAAAACTAAATTTCATCTTTGCACAACTTACAATTTTCAGAGCAGACTGATTTTTTTTTTACCGTCTTTACTTGATCATTTTAGACAGAGGTGGTGGTATGAAAACATCAGAAGAGGTTTTTGTGTTTGTTTGGCACTAAAGTTTTGAGATGCGTCAGATATTCATGCTGTCTCATAAACTGTTCCATTTATTCTTGCTACAATATCAGCACAATAACTTAAAGTTGAGGCTAATGTTAGAGTCTAGATTTATTGTAGTGGTGCCTAAGATCCAAAAGATCAAATCACTATAAGATCCTATTGGAAGAGGGATAAGAACCTAGTAGTAAACAGTCTGTACTCTGAAATGCTAGTAGACAAGACGGGATACAGCGTAAGGAAAAGATTAAAAAAAGCATGGACAAAATGGGCAATGTGAGGGGAGCAAGCTTGTGTTAGTCTCTTGATTCTCAGTCAAAATTATTACAGGATAAAGCTGTCAATGTTTCTTGGTTTGATGGCAATAATGCTGCTAGAGGAAGAGGATAGCGGGTTAAATTATTTGTGAATTTGACAAAAGAGACTCAGGAGTCCTGCTTCCCTCAAGACTGATCTCTGGCACCGCATGCTGTTATAAGCATGTATGCCACACAGTAATGCTTTATCCCTTCATACCATTAGGACTGACAGCAGTGCTTGCTTGATGGGCAAGCAGACCACTGCGCCAGACTAGAGTTGGCCATTAACTAGGACCATCCCAAAAACCGTGGCTTTGGAGCAGGTGATGCTGGTGTCTCTTGACATTGCTAATGCTTTTTAAGGTTCAAAACCTACTTGATGCTGTAGATGCCTTTATAGCTCTAGAGTAGCACAGTTGGTGTTTGCTGTATCTGATAGGTCCAGGAGTTGCTCTCCCTTTCCTCTCTGTACTGGTTCAGATTGGTTCCACCTTGTCCATTCCCACCGTGGCCGTTCGGACTGGAAATATGTACACGGTTTTGTATTTTTTGAAAAACCAGGCTAATCTTTCATTCTTAAAGCAACACACTGTTACCTGCCTAGGTATCTCTTAATGAAAATTGAAGCATGCCAGGAATACTTAAAGGTAACCTTCCTTTATTATAATATGCTAATGCTTTATAACGAAAAAGAATTTGCCATTTTTAAGCATACTTGATTTGAAAAAAGAGTGCAGACAAAACTTCTTGAAATCACTTGTTTTTTTGGGTTTTTTTTGGACTGCTACAGCAATAAAATACCAGTGACAGTTGGTTCTATGTGTTTTCCAACCTCAAGCAAGGGCTATGGTCTGTGTTTTCCCACAACGTTATGGCAATTAGTTACTCTAATTGGCTTTAATTCACTTCTGGCTCCCTTGTTCCTCACATCCCAATCAAAACAATGAGTTCTGAAAGGCACTGAATTTATGCATTAGATATTTGTTTTCAAAGGCGTGACATATTTGCAGATAACTTGATTTTTTTTACGTGAAAGATCGTGTTGAAGATCACAAGACATTACGCATTAATGCTTCGTCCAAGTATACATATTAGTCATGTAAATATTCCCTCAAGCCTTTTCTTTGTGAACTGTGTTAACATAAAAAGAACAGGGGCTTTGATCTCCTCTCATCGAGTGGCGGGCTTCAAACTCATTTCAAATTACTGGACTTTCTGATATGTTCTTTTGAAATGTGAAATTACAAAGATTGTAAATTTGCATGTTACTGTAGCGAAGTATTCTTGAATTGGCTGTTTCAGCATTTGTTCTGCTGGTATGAATTCCTTTTTTTTGTTTTAAGGTTTTTGTTGCTTTGGATCTATGTGCAAAAAAAATATTTTGACAGACACTAAACTGCTGATCGCTGTAGAGATGTAAGCCATTGCAGCTGCACTCTGAATTTGCAATTATTATGTGTATTAATATACCAGACACAAACACAGATTGCTCTGATAAAGTATACATTTGTTCTGAAATCATAGAAATAATGTGCTGTCATAAAGATTTCCTTGGAGAAGCAATCTTCTGTAAATATATAATCTCATTATATCTAATAACCTTTCACTCCGTTGCTTTTTCCTTTATCACTGTACTAATTTTTGCATTAATGCATTAATGTGCATCATCCATGATGCATTAAGAAGTTGTGTGCTTTGAGCTCTGTATTGCTTTGCCAGCTTCAAATTCCCTGGTTATATTTTGTGCCTGGATTTAGAAGTAGCTGTTTATGAAGTAGGTAATGGAGGCTTTGAAAAACTGTTCCTACTGGAGAAGGGTGTGTGCACCTGCGTGGGGCTGTGGGAGACTGGGAGAAGGGTGGCAGGAGAGCGTTTGCAGGTGGATGGAGTGGGAGGCATGGCAGGACTTCTGGCTCCCCTTCCTAGGCAGCGACGTGCAAGCCCCCCGAAACAGGGAACGGTCTGTGTTTATTCTTTGCCATCTACTGGACCCCATAACGTGGAAATGGCTTATGCAGATGTATGCAGCAAGCCTGAGGAGAAAGATGGACAAATCGGTGAAACGTCAAGCATTGCGTCTCAATTGCAGTAATTTCCTTTCAGCTTTGACTAGAGTCCATTTTCAAGGGAAAAAATGTTCCCCGGTAGTTTCTCAAATGCGATGAAAAGTCGAGGTTTGGTAATGGCAGGACGTGAGTTTGGGAATGCTGTTAGGAGCCCTATAGCCTCCTAAGGCAGGTCTGTGAAATACTTCAGTGGGATGTCTTCAATTTCCCACCCTAGCAGAGGCGATCCTCCGGAGCAGCCTTACCTAGTTCAGGCTGCAGGGCACAGGGGAGGCTATGGTAGCTTTGAGCTCAGGTTTGGCTCCCGTGTGGGCTGGTGACCTGTGTTTTGCAGCAGAGGCAAAGGTTGAGCAAGCAGGAAGTGTCGTAGCTCTCTGGTCCTGTCTGAGGCCCCAGCAGCTGGACATCCCTCTGTCTCATCCCGATTTTGCTGGCTTTAGCTGTGCTTCTGCAGCACTAGTTTGAAGATACCTCCTTCCTTCTTCTCCTTATGCCTGACCAGCTCTTTTTAAAGCACTAGTATGATATAAGCAGGACCCATAAATACACTCAGAATTTTTTTTTTGATTTATTATACAGAGGCATTATATAGAGGCATATATTATACAGAGGCTCTTTATTATAGAGAGGCAGCAAAGTGTGCTGGAGGTGCTGCAAATCAATTTGTGGTCTGCTGACTGAATTTCTTAATAGCAGTTTTTGAGGCCAACTGCTATTTGCTTTCACCATTGGAGCTGCGTACATTGATGTGTAATTCCACTTTAAAGCTATTTGCTCCTGTCATTGCCGTGGTCAGCAGCTCTATGCAGGGCCCAGCAGAGCCTCCTCACCCTCCCTCACCTCATGGAGAGGCGCTCTCACCTCCCGCCCCGTTCAGGGCTGGGCAGCTCCAGCAGTCCGTGGGGCCAAGGAAGAAACACTCGGCTCCTGGAGCTACTCCTGCAGTTTTGGGAGGATGGGGGGAGGGTGTTGAGGTGACCTGATTGAGCATGATCCTTCACCTCCCCATCCTCACTGCCTAGGCGAGCTCCCTGCATGTGCAGGTGCAGCTGTAACTGGTTGTGATGGGCCCATTATGCAGGGAGGAAGGTCACCTGCGTGCCTGTCTCCTGTGAGTAACCAGCCCCTGGGATTTCTGTGGTGCTTTTCATCTGAGGGCTTGAAAGCCCTTAAAGATGACTGAGTTGCTATGACAGCTCTGGATAAGTACCGTTCCTAATGCAGGCTTAAATGAGTCATGAAAGGTGAAGTGACTTGCCAGAGGTGCCACTACACCAAGTCCCAAAGTCCTGGTTCAGTGCTGGGCATGAG